TTTGCACTGTAGCTTACATATAGTAGTGTCAAAAGACCAACTGAGACACACTGAAATATTAAAGAGTTTGAGCAAAAAGTGTTTCATAAATCAGGCAGCTCCAGACCACAAGTGGCTCTAGGCTCTGACAAAGGGACAGGAGGGAAAAATCTTTTATAGGGTGAATGAGGAAGCAAAGCAAAGAAAATATTTGATTGGTTAAAGTGGAGCAATGGCCTTATTTGGATCATTCCAGTGGACAGCCCCCAGTTAGAGGTTAGTTGGAGGTTTCTGACTGGTTAAGCTTGTTTTGTTTTACTGTTTACACTGAATTAGGTTTTAACTTGCTTAAGTAGGAGCCCAGAGCACTGGAGCTGCCTCAGCCTAATGACCTCCCAATTAATTATTTTAACAGTAATTATTCAACAAATTACATTGAATAGTATGTCCATTAAAAAACTACATATATATATATATATATATGTGTGTGTGTATTTGCTATCACGAGGCGCCCAGCATTGTGCTATAGCAAAGAAAGCTTCATACTTGTCTCTGACCAAATAAAAAATATTGTCGAGGCGACAAGGCAACAATTTAAAAACTATATAAAGGAATCTATGATTAAATGCTAAGTTTCCCATTTTTATGTACACATAGTTGCACACAAAAATCTTTAAGAGGCATTATATAAGCTTTAAAATTTATAACTTGTTTTAGAAATGATTGAAATATAAGAAATTGTGTCTTGAAATAAATACATTTGCTAAAATTTAGCCCAAATTCATTGTACAGTTGCTCTCATGGCAAGATAAACTTCTCTATAGTTAGCAGCATTTAAAGTCATCAGCTTGAGGCCGGGCGCGGTGGCTCAAGCCTGTAATCCCAGCACTTTGGGAGGCCGAGGCGGGTGGATCACGAGGTCAGGAGATCGAGACTATCCTGGCTAACATGGTGAAACCCCGTCTCTACTAAAAATACAAAAAAAAAAACTAGCCGGGCGTGGTGGCAGGCGTCTGTAGTCTCAGCTACTTGGGAGGCTGAGGCGGGAGAATGGCGTGAACCCGGGAGGCGGAGCTTGCAGTGAGCCGAGATCACGCCACTGCACTCCAGCCTGGGAGACACAGCGAGACTCCGTCTCAAAAAAAAATAAATAAATAAAAAATAAAAAAATAAAGTCATCAGCTTGAAAAAGCAAGCTCAATTGGTGTCTTTTTCAGGTTCCTTCTAGTCTATTAACAACCTAAGTTATTAAACTTTTAGAATGATAAAAATAAATAAATAAAACACACAAAGACTGTAGAGTTCCTGAAAGCAAACAACAAGTGGGCAGAGATTAGAGGTGGGGAGGAATCTAGTGGCTGGGTTAATAGAAGGTCAGAATGGAGGCACACGAGAATATCTCTAAGTAAATGCCTGGAAATTCATAGGTAAGTTGAGTACCGGCTAGAAAGACTGATAAATCTAGCTTTAGATCTACCCAGTGTCATTGGACACTGGTGACTCTGAGGCTTGTGCTCCAAGGCCCAGGTCCCTAACCTTGATTGAAAAAGTCTAAGAAAAGACGTGGGTTAGTGAATAGAGTACTGGATTAGAAGTTTGTGTTTTCTGATTTCCAAGAGCCCGTGAACAACAACAAAAAACAGAAAAGACTGATTTAGCTTCATGGGTGATGATGAAGCCTCACTCTGATTTGAACTCAGAATACAGATGTTTTGCTATAGTCTGAATGTATGTGCCCCCTGCCAGCCCCAAATTCATATGTTGAAACCTAACCCCCATGTGATGGTATTGAAGTGAGGTCTTTGGGAGGTGACTAGGTCATGAAGGTGAAGCCCTCATCAACAGAATCAGTCCCCTTGTAAAAGAGGCTTGAGGGCGCTCCCTGGCCCCTTCTGCAATGTGAGGACACCCAGAAGGTGAAATCTATGAGGAATGAGCTCTCAGCAGACACCACAGCAGCTGGTGCCTTGATCTTGGACTTTCAGCCTCCAAAACTGTGAGCAATACATTTCTGTTCTTTACACATTATCCAGTCTCAGGTGTTTTGTTCTTTACACATTATCCAGTCCAGCCTAAATGGACTAAGGTAATGTTTCAGTGGCTTAACGCAAAAAAACACATTGTCCAAAGTTATTTATTACTTCTCTCCCATTATAAGCACGAACTTTAAAAGCTACTTTATATTGGCATTTGAATAAACAGACACTAACACTCCCCAAGGATGTCAAAATATTTGTTGCATAATAGTTTCAGGTTTATACAAATAATGTCTTCACCAGCACCACAGAAATTCTGTAGAAACTTCTCCTCACCCCAGGATGTTATTTGTTGATACTGATTTCAATACAGTCACCTCACTGAGTATAGGCCAGAAAGCAGAGCCTGCCTTTAAAATGGTAAGGCTGGCCGGGCATGGTGGCTCATGTCTGTAAGCCCAGCACTTTGGGAGGCCGAGGCGGGTAGATCACGAGGTCAGGAGTTCAAGACCAGCCTGGCCAAGATGGTGAAACCCCGTCTCTACTAAAAATACAAAAATTAGCTGGGTGTGGTGGCAGGCGCCTGTAATCCCAGCTACTTGGGAGGCTGAGGCAGAGAATTGCTTAAACCCGGGAGGGGAGGTTGCAGTGAGCCAAGATCGTACCACTGCACTCCAGCTTGGGTGACAGAGTGAGACTCCGTCTCAAAAAAGAAAAAAAACATGGTAAGGTTGGCATTGTCTAAGTTATGTCTCTTTTCTCGAGTCCTGACACCACAGACCTCATGCTGCTGTCTTGCTGACCCTAACCTTCTTTTCCTTCTGCAATCCATAATTCTCTGATGTATGTGCTTTAAAATGATTTCAGTGCCACGATACTTCAAAGTGATTTCTTTTCTTATTTCACCATCACATAGCTGAACCTCCTATCACCTACCTTGAGTGATTACTGCAGGCAAGACTGCAACGTGACCAATGAAATTAAAGAAATTCATGCAGGCTGGGCGCAGTGGCTCACACCTGTAATCCCAGCACTTTGGGAGGCCGAGGTGGGTGGATCACCTGAGGTCGGGAGTTTGAGACCAGCCTTGCCAACACTGTGAAACCCCATTTCTACTAAAAATACAAAAATTGGTCGGGCGTGGTGGCATGTGCCTGTAATTCCCGTTACTTGGGAGGCGGAGACAGGAGAATTGCTTGAACCCTGGAGGCAGAGGTTGCAGTGAGCCGAGATGGCGCCACTGCACTCCAGTTTGAGTGACAGAGGGAGACTCCGTCTCAAAACAAAAAAAAAAAAGAAAAGAAATTCCTGCTAAGGTGTGAACCAAATGTCAAAATGCTTCCCACCCCTTCCTTTCCCTTACTCCCACACAGGCAGACTGGTCACTCTTCTGAAGACACCCACCGTTTACATAAGTGAATGAATAAATACCTGACATCCAGAAATGTGACTAGGTAATTAGTGGGAGGTGAGGCACAGTGAAGAGGCGGAAAATTCTGGGCAGTGGGTGGGGTGGGAAGCCTGGGTGCTGTCAATCACACCGCCTGCACTAAAGCTTCTTCATATCAGTCTTACCCAGTTGCAACCATCCAGGGAGAATATTGTGCCAATTTCAAAGACACTGCTTCTGGGGTGGGCTCTAGGAGGTGGTAGATTAAAGGGTACAAAACAATCCAAAGTGCAGGGCTCTTTTACGTTGGGTGTCTGAAGGGCCGAGAACACTTTGTAATTTTGATCCCCTTGAATGTATTTAGAAAATTAAATCCCTTTATAATTAAAGCCAATAATGAAAGGGCATTAAAGTTATCCAATCTATACACCGCATTAGTTTTTAATCTGCGGTTGGGCTGTAGCCTTTACTTCTTGATCTTTTCTATCTCTAATCTGGTTATAACTGCCTGTCATTTTTACTTTTCCTGGGAGGGGCAGAGCCTCTCTTTTCTCTTTTCCTCTGAGGTGTGCGAAGTGTTTTTTTTTTTTTTTTGCCTGAGTTGATGGATAGTTTCCGAGATTTAATCCCTTTCTCTGGTTTCCTGACATTTCCACTTAGAGTTGACTCTTGTGTTCATGGCCAGAATGAAAGGCATGTTTACTAGTGCTTTGAAGTTTCAAAAGTGGGCCTGGCGTTCTTGCTGACTGCTGCGGGTACTGCTGCACAAGGCCGTGCTGAGGACAGCGCTCCCGGCGGCAAGGAGCGACCTGCCCCGGTCTGGGGCCCCCAGCCCTCCCGGCGGCGAGTGGGAAGTAGCAGGAAGCGGGCTGGATTCCGCCCTCGGGGAGGGCCGGGGGTCCTGGGACTAGAGCCAAGCCTCCTCCCCTCGACGTCCCGCCGGTTGCGAGCCAGAGCCTCGGTACCCCCACCCCCTGAAACAGCCTGCTTCGTGGAATCTGAAGCTGGGCCACCCCCTGGGCAGGGCAGGGCTCGGTGAGGCTAGGAGCTGAGGAGCGCTGGCAGGTGAGGGGGGGAGTCTGGAGCCGGGCTGGAGGTGAGGGGGCGTTGAGGGGTGGTACAGAGGGAGTGGAGGCGGGGCTGGGGGTGAGCCAGTGAGCGGCGGGGGTGGCACAGAGGAGGTGGGGACAGAGATGGGGGTGAGCCGGAAACATGAGGTGGGGATGAGTGGGTTCGGAGCTGAGGGTGAGCCAGTGAGCTGGGGGTGGCACAGAGGGCGTGGGGGCGGAGCTGGGGTGAGCCGGGAAGCTGGGGGTTGGCACAGAGGAGGTGGGGACAGGTGGGGGGTGAACCGGAAAGCTAGGGGTCGCGGGGGTGGTGAGTGGGTTCGGAGCTAGGGAGTGGCACAGTGGTGACGGGGCTGGAGGTGAGTCGGGGGGTTAAAGGGTAGGCACGTGGAGTTGGAGATGAATTAAGGCTTTGGAGGGGCACAGAGGTAGGGGGGCACTCAGGTGGAGGCGAGCCCGGCTGCTGGACGCGGACGCCACCCGGACCCGGGGCCCGCGCAGAGGCCTCGAGGGGAGGGGGCGGGGCCCGTGGGGGGCGTGGCGAGGGAGGGGAAGTGGGCGGGGCACCGCCGGGAAGGGGGCGGGCCGGGGGAAGCCTTGGGTTGGGGCAGCGGGGCGGGCGCGTGGCCTGGCCGCGGCGCGATGAGTGGGGCCCGGGCGGCGCCCGGGGCCACGGGCAACGGCGCGGTCCGGGGGCTGCGGGTGGACGGGCTGCCCCCGCTGCCCAAGAGCCTGAGTGGGCTGCTGCACTCGGCGTCGGGCGGCGGCGCGTCTGGGGGCTGGCGGCACCTGGAGCGGCTGTACGCGCAGAAGTCGCGCATCCAAGACGAGCTGAGCCGCGGGGGCGCGGGCGGCGGCGGGGCCCGGGCGGCAGCGCCCCCCGCCAAGCCTCCCAACCTGGACGCCGCTCTGGCGCTACTCCGCAAGGAGATGGTGAGTGGGGCTCCGCGAGCGGGGGCTCCTCTCGGTCGGACTCGCAGTCTCGGGAAAGTTCGCGGGGACCGCGCTCTGTCCGGAAGTCCCGGCGCCCACCCGCCTTTTCGGGCTCCTCGGCCCCCGGCTGCGGCGCCGTTCTCCCAACGACCCCCCTTTTTCTCGCGCGCCCCGTGCCCACGATTGGGCCCCCCCGCGGGAGAGGCCCCCGCGCAGAGAGCGGCTTTCTTACGCCCGGCGCCCTCAGTCCGGCCCCGCTGGCTCGGAAACCTGGGCGCCCGGAAGCGCAGTGCGGGGTTCGCGCCTGGCCTGGGGGCGGGGGCGGGGGCGGCCTTGGCCTTGTCACCCCTCCCCGAGTGAAACAGACCTTTCCGGTGGGGGAAAGGCTTTCACAGCGGCCCAACGGGTTAACGCGATTGCGTTTTCCTACCACGAAGAGGACAGCTTTTGTCCGTCGCCAGTGTAGACAGCAGATTGGAACAGCCCGGCCCCCTCCCCGGCGCCCCAGGCCGCGCGTCCATGATCCGATTACCGCGGGATGGCCCCGGCGCACGATGGCTGTGAAAGCGGACGCGCACCCCGGGCGAGGGAGGCGGCCCGGTCCCTCAGCCCCTAGAAGCTGATTGCCCAAACCCCCTTGAGAAAGATGTGAGGTGGCTGTCCTCCCGGTCTGGGTGCTGTCCATGTGAGTTCTGCGCCTTGTGTCTAAGCTCCAAACCGTGGGCTCAGTGTTTCTCTGTGCTTGGGAAGTACATTAGCTGTTTGTGGACCAGAACACACATGATTTAGGGTGACGCTAAAAGTAGGACAAGGGCAGGGGTTTAGGCAACAGCGAGTCTTTCCCCAGCTTTCTCGGCCAGGCATAGGCCAGACAAGAAGAAAACAAAAACTTTTCCTCTTTTCTGCCATGTTACTGGCCCCCATCACCTCCTCCCAATTCCCTCCTTTTAAAAGCCTCCCCTTCCATTCACCTCGTCCAGGTTGACTCTTTTCCCTATGGGTAAATTATTGAGGAAATCTAACATTAGGAAGGCTGCCTTTTCCCAAAACTAAATTTGCCAAAAAAAAAAAAAAGAAATTGTTACAGGAATCTTTTAAATATGCATCTAGTGCATTTAAGATATTGTTTAGAAACATTCAGAGTATGCATACTTTTTTTCAGGAGCATTATCTGTTCTGAAAACTAAGACTTAATTGAATTCAGAAAGCAGCCTTAACACTTTTAATCAAAGAGATATTGTCTTCCTACTCTGTAGCTGGCATTGAACTGATTTCCAATTCTCACTGAAAAGATTTTCTAAGCTTCTTACAGAACCACTTAAATTCCAAGCCAACCGTTTTTAATTTATTAAAAAACATTCATTGACATAAGCATCACACAGCTGGTGAACTGCATTTTAATTAGATAAATCTACACGTAGTGTGTTCACAGTCTGAGCTTGGACATAGCAGAACCACGGGGGGGAAGTAGGAAGATCATCTTTGATTATTTAAGTTCCATACTTGAGCAAGAGACGGAAAAACCTCAGGGCCACTCCTGTTGTGAAGCTGTGGTTTATAAACATGCTCTGGAGTCTTGCTATGGTGGCTTGGGAGTCAACGTGCTTTCCCAAAAGTATTTTTCCAGGTCCCTTCTGGTGTGACTGAAGCACAACCACATCCGTATAATTACGCCTTGGACCAGAGCTCTCTGTAAGCCTATTTGAAGCACAAGAAAAATAAACAGCCATCTTTGGTCTGCCTGGTATTTAGCTGAGATAAAGATAAGGTATGGCTGCAGGCCTTGACAAGTTCCTTTCAAGAAATGTCACAAGGCCTTTAAAGTTGCCCGGAGAATCTTTCAACTTTTTAGTTGATTTACTGACCATGGGGTCTGAGTGGACAAAGCTGAGACTCCCTCTGGGGAGGCCTTGCAGAATAAGAACTGGGAGTTCATTTCTGAGATATCTGCAGAATAGTTTGTGTTGATCGGTTTAAGTTGAAGGCCTGAGGTCAAATCTGTGGCAGGAGACATAACTAGATGTCATGGCAGAAAGTGATAAATGCCTTAATTTTTATTTATTTTTATTTTTTAAAGCAAGCATAGAAAGAGAGACAACTTCCAGCAGGGACAGGGAGCAGGGTGGTGTGGAAGACCTCAGAAGGTGAAAGAATTTCAACAAGGGAAAAAGGCACCAGGAAGGCAGCTGCGGAGCTGGAGCTGGGAGTTCCCCAGTTTGATATGGGAGTGCCCCAGTTTGAAATGTGAGCAAGAAGGGGCTGGGCAGGTTGACCAACTGGACTCTGGGAAGCTGAGTAGCAAGGATGGGTGTTCAGCAGGAGAATGGTACTATCCCTGTTGGACTTTGAAGAAATGAATTCTACAGCAGGGTGCAGGAGGGAGAGCTGGACTTTGGAGGCTCAATGGGAAGATGAGAGGTGTTCATGGGAGAGGTGATGGAGTCGCCAGCAGGGCAGGGCCTTGCTAATGTGAAACAAGACTCATGTGGGAGACACTTTTCTGAAGCAGAAGCTGGAGGAATTACTGAGTCAGGGAAGATGATGAAAAGGGGATCAAAGATAACTTAAGCTTTTTTATGCAAAATGCAGCCAAGCAAAAAATTAAAAATTACAGTGCTAGCACCTAGAAATAATCACTTTTAATATTTTGGGATATCTTCTGTTAGGTGCAATGTAAGTGCTTTCCATATAGTATCTTATTTAATTGTATAAATTCTCCATGAGATAGATACTCAAAGTCTGTTTTATATTAAAGAATGGGATGCTGAGAGTTGAACTCCCTTAAGGTCACAGACCGTACCAGGTCTGTTTGGTTCCAAAGCCCTATTTAACCATTGCAGTCTGCTGTCTGTGCACACGCACGCACTCACAAACGCACACACATACATACAACACATTGATCACGTATATTTTGGTTTGCTTTTTGGGCCGCACATTGCAAATATTTTCCCAGTCAAGATATAATGACTTCAGTGAGTGTGTCGTATACCACTGTATGGCAGTTAGCAAGGTTTTGAAGCTTAATAATCACTGGTGAAGTGGGGTTCACTGTAGCATTTGGGGAGTCAGGAGGAGTGGTTGCTTTAGGGAGGAAAGTAATTTGTCATCACATCAGCTGAAGAGTATGTTAAACATTTCAGAATGTGGAGCTGGAAGCTGGAAGAGAGGTTTTGGGCTGGAGATAACTGGTGGAAGAGATGGTTGGAGCTGAGGGAGTAATACAGTCTCAATGGGAGGAGAGGCCATTAGGATGCCGAGGGTGGAACCTGGGAGAGCTGGAGTCCAGGGCTGAGAAGCGTCTGTCCCATGACTGCTGGTGCCCTCCTCTGCTTGGAGAGTTGTGGTTTCAGCTCCAAGTTTCAACACCTCCTGTTCTAGTAACCCTTGTGAAATTCTGCACTACTCGTAAGTCCTCGTCCCCCACCCCGAGAAGGGCCCATTTGGAAAGCTTCAAGGGTCACACAGATAGTTACTGCTCTATAGACCAAAAAAGTCCCTTTGAAAAAGTTGATGATGATTATTTTTACATCAGAGAATATTTTTAGATCATGTTTAAGAGATGATTACTGGGTGTATGTTAGAAAGTGCTGTGGACGCTTTAAGGGTGAATAGGAAATATCTAGATGTTAAGGGGCTTATCACACCTGGTAGATGTGGGTGTCTTTACAGAAAAAGAATTGCTTTAGTTTGGACTAGTTTTCATTTTTCATGACCAAAGACTGTATATTAGTAATAGAAACTTAGTCTGAACTAGGTTTTGCAAAAGGAGAATCTTGTAGGCTGGATGTATACAGAGACAGACTAGAACCAGGGCTTATGGGGAACCTAGGAAGTCCACTGAGGTCTTCTCTTCCCCTCCTCCTCTGTTTTGTTTCTTTCCTCCATTTTGGAACCTGGCCGCTAACAGTGGCCCCCCTCAATTTTGGCCATGCTGCTTAGTTGCAGTTTGCAAATACTGTGGAAGGATGCCAGTTGGCCTAGCTTGGGTGGCCTGGCCAGCCTGGGCCAGCCAACAGTGACAAGGACAGGATTGTATTTTAATAAGATGGTGTGAGCATGTGGATGGAATCAGACACTGGGGATTCTCTAAAGAAAGGACAGTTTGCAAAAATGGAGCAAGGGGTAATGTAGTAGATATATACTGCAGACCCCCTTCTATTTAAAAATACTTTGCCCTCAAGGGTCCCACAATTTGAAAGATTTTTTTTATCTGCTAAGCTGATGGCTAGCTTGGCTAACTAGATCTTGGTTGGCCTTTAAAATATTTGCATGTGGTTGAAGGATGTCCTTGACTGGGTGTCAGCTGGGACCCCTGGCACACACCAGTCCTTGCATAGATTTCTACATAGACTGCCTTTCCCAGCACCTGTGCGAGGTTAGATCATCAGCCTTACAGGTAACCAGAAGTCACACTAGAGTGTAGAGACACAAAGACCCTCGGCCCTGGGGGCAGGAGAGCTTCGAGGAACTGGGGATTCTTGGGTTCAGCTGCTCCCATGGTCAGCAGCAAGGTCTAGTAGCTTTGATTTGGAATCTCTTTGCCTCATTTTTTTTCTTTAAACTATCAGTTATTTTGGTCTCCCACCTGTGCAGAGTGGGAAGTCATCCACACAGAACTTTTGAATTCCCAAATTGCAATGCTGTGTAAAGAATTGAACCTAAGAAAAAAAGAAGTTGAATTTGTGAAACCAGTAACAATTAGTTTTCCTACATTTTAGTTGAAACAACTAAATGCCTAATGAGTTTGTCCAGTGAACTGGATTCCAGCTCATTAGCTGGAATAGCTGACACCCCAGTGGAGTACAGTCCTTATCCTTAATGTGAAACCAGTGTCTTACAGAGGAAGTTTCAGTCTTTAAGAGGCTGTGATTGAGTCAGGCTACGAAGTGCCATTTGGAATAAGAGGATTAGCTCCCAGTGCAGCATTCTTGATTGGCATTGGTCAGAGGAGATTGGGAATGTCCAGCAGCCTTTAATACTGTCTGTTTTCACTGGTCTTT